AATAAGCCAAATTTATTTGGAGTCCTTTTCATTGCACTAGCGCTAGCGGGCCCAGAGGAAATCTTGCTTCTCAAATTCTGGAACCCAATATGGTGAAAGTCTTTCCTATTTGTATGTTTTTCAGCTCTTTGTTTTCCAAATTTGGAATGAGACTTCCAGGCCTTCTGAGAAAAAGCCCTGTGTGCTGGGACAGGGCCGTGAGACCGTATCTCAAGGCCTGGCCTGGCGCCAGCACTGACAGCTCTGTCTGGGGCATGGTTTATGGCCTCTCTGGAATGGGGAGTATCTTATTTTCCCTATTATTTAAGCAAACAAACGTTACAGAAGCCAGAATAGCAGGGTTAATTTTAAACGGCAGTTTTTACCCAAGATGGAGGTTACTAAGCTTCAGATCCTATCAAACTGGCTAAAGGTTTTTCAAGTGATACTGCCTAAGGCTGTCCATGCCGGGAAAGGCTGCTCTCCCTTCCTGCTAATAGGAAGTGTGAATTGCTAATGCCTTGGTGGAAAGTAATATAGCAATAGCTACTTAAATTAAATATGTATATGTCCTTCAACCAAGCAGTTTCACTCCTGGGATTCTGTACTAATGAAATAAAAGCATCAGTCCTTAAGAATGTGAATACTAGGTGTACCGGTTAATAATGCGGAATTTTTTCACTAGATGGAGTTACACATATGTTGATATATTTGCGATTTGATGTGTATGCTATTTTGTTGTGTTGACAACAAGCTTCAAAACTTCAGATGTCAAATTTCCTGAAGGTGTTAACATCATAGATATTTTTACGCTTAAAAATGTCAAATTTCATGCCAAAAAAAGAGCATTTGTGGGAAGTTTTAATTCTTTACTTGATTTTGAAGAAAAGTGCTATCGATGGACATTACTTTGAATAAAGCACTTTCGATGTTTCTCTTGAAATTATCGTGTTTTCTTTGATTACAAAATCTGAATTATTAACCGTAATAATGCAGATTAATTATTAACCGGTTAATAGTGTGGATTAACTACTAACCGGTTATCTATCCACTGAGCCAAACCGGTTTCGGCTTCTCTTGAAGTTATCGTGTTTTCTTTGGATTACAAAATCCGAATTATTAACCAATTAACAGTTAATCCTCATTTTTAACCGGTTAGTAGTTAATCCACACTATTAACCGGTTAATAATTAATCTGCATTATTACGGTTAATAATTCAGATTTTGTAATCAAAGAAAACATGATAATTTCAAGAGAAACATCAAAAGTGCTTTATTCAAAGTAATGTCCATCACTAGCTACACATTTTCCCCATCTTTCAGGTAATTTGTGGATACCGTCCCAATAGGACTTTTCTTGTTTTAGGCAGACCATTCAGAGACCCAATTTTCCACTTCTTTGTACGTTTTGAAGTGCTGCTCAGAAAGTGCGTGTGCCATCGATCGGAACAAGTGGTCATCTGAAGGAGCAATACAACAAAATAGCATACATATCAAATCGCATATAGATCAACATAGTGTAACTCCATCTATTGAAAAAATCTGCATTATTAAACCTGTGCTTCCTCTCACCCATCCACACCCCCTCCAAAATACCCTTAAACATAACCTCAAAGCCAACAAAAGATTTGCTATTTGTTCGGGGGGTTGATTTATTGTTCAAATTCATGCTCCTGTCCCCCCTCAGTGCTGTGGGTGTGCCTGGTTCTTGGTTTAGCAGGGGGGCTGTGCACGTTTGTTGATTCTCTTCAAACTCTTGGCTGGCTCACCCAGCAGATCTGTGAAAATGAAGAGGTGGCGGCCTTCCCTGAGCCCTCCCCTCAGTAGTGGGTCCTTGCCCACGGAAACAACCCCTCCTCCCTCTTTGTACGAAGGTCTTCTTGGCTCTGCAAGCAGGATGGGGAGGGACAGGATGCAGATTTTATTTGTCTTTGCAAACCGCCTTCCTTCATGGACTTGTTCATCGGAGGTGTGTCTTACATGCAGTGGAGTTGCTTTATTTAGGGGTTGGTTGCTAGAAGCCAAAAGATCCCCCTGACATTTCCTGGGCGTCCCCGCCCTGTCCTCCTCTTCACAGGAAAGTCTCCCTCATGGCCAGGGTTGTGGTGCCACCAGCTTTGGCCTCTCCTCAGGGGTTCAAGAAAACGAACCCCAACTCTCCCCACAGTGTCCTGCTTTCTGCCCACACGAGGGCGCTCGCTCCACACCCCAAATAACCGGCCACTGCAGGCCAGGAGGTACTTTTCCAAAGGCAGTTGAATGGAGCCAAGGCGTGGCCATGGCTGGGCAGACCAGGAGCTCAGGCCCAGGGTCCCTTCCTGTTGTCCAACCTTGCAAGTTTCTACTCCCTGGGGGCAGAGACAACTAGAGAGGGAGGGGCTACAAAAGGTGATGCTTCCAGCCTTCTCAGGACTGTCCACTCACCCCCCACCCCATGGAGGAAAAAGACCCACTTCCACAAAGTTGGGCCCCCAGGAAAGTGGGGAGGTAAGAGGGGCCTGGAGGGGACAGAACTGGGACAAACGCTCCACTGCCCCGAGACACAGTTTACCCCTCTGCCCCCCACCTCCACCCCCTGCCTGCAAACACTCATGCAAACAATGGATTCACTTAGTCATCCTCCCTGCTGGGGCTCAGAGTCTTGGCTCCAGGGAATAACTGGGGTGGTTCCTTCTGCTGAGGCTGCAGGACGGGCAGGGCTCAATATTGACAGAAAGGCTTGAAGCTGTAGTTTGCCCAGCCCCAAGGACCCCCAATCCGACCCAGGTGGGGGGGTGAGTACTCCATGAATCATGTGTTCGTGCAGCTGCCAGCTCCTCAGATCACCCCAACACACAGAATCCTGTCTCTGAACGCGGGGACAGACTCCTAGCGCATGCCTCCCACCTGAGACCAGGGCATGGGCAGCTGCCGTGAATTTAGCCCTCCTCAGTGGTCTCAGACAGAACACCTCTGGGCCAGGCCAGATGTACCCCCTCGGCCCCCACTTCACTGTGGTGAGAAAGTGGACTTGGACTTGCCCCAGCCCAGGGCCCTCCTGGCTCTTCCCCTCTCACCACACCCAGAGCAAAACACGTCTTTAGGAACACGGCTAGGACTCTCCCTGCCCCACTCGGGACCCATCACAGCCTGGCTCAAGCACCATTTCTATTCCCAAGCACATGCCAGAACTCTCTCTACTGGGGACCACTTGAGCCCTTCCTTAAGAGGAGGGAAGCTGGGAGACTTGGGAGCACAGCTGCATAAAAACAAAGCAAGTTTTCCTTTTGAACTTGTCACAAATTCCACCTCGAAAAAAATATTAAATGTTGCTTTACTCTGCAGGAAAAGAAAAAAAAAAGATGGCTTCATCCAGAGCGGCATCTTTTCTAATTCACATAAAGGCACCTGATGAGCCAGCAGCAGCCTTGCAGAGATGGGTCCATCTATGGACCTTCCCACCAAGTCCCCTGGCTGGTGAGTCACTGAGTCACTCCCAGAAGTGACTGGACAAACCCTTAGCCAGCTGTTACCGCACCAAGCAGAGGAGGAAAGAGAAATCATTGGGAAGCCAGGACACAGGAGTCGATTTCACACACACACACACACACACACACACACGTACCTCCACTTGCCTGATTTATTTATTTTTAATATATTTTTATTGATTTCAGAGAGGAAGGGGGAGGGAAAGAGACATAGAAACATCAAAGATGAGAGAATCATTGATTGATTGATTGATTGCCTCCTGCATGCCCCACACTAGGGATCAAGCCCAAAACCCAGGCCTATGCCCCACCGGGAATCTAACAATGACCTCCTGGTTCATAGGTCAATGGGCCACACCAGCTGGGCCTGACTTATTTGTAACCACTGAGACCCTCATGGTAGAGCATAGCCAAGGCCCCCAGGAAAGTGACATATTCCTGGAAGCTCACCACCTGGTCCTCGTTCTGGGCCAGGTCGGCCACCAGCGTTCCAGTTTCAGACTTCTGCAGCTTCTAACATGTTAGAATGAGGAATCCAGACTTCGATTATGAGAACCTGGGCTCTCTCCCTTCCCCCTCCTCGTCAGCCCTCACTCATATGAGTGGCTCACGGGGCGGGGAGGGGTGGGGTGCTTACTCGTCACCAAAGATATGAGTCCACCTTGGGTTCACTTGGCTTTACCCCACCCGGCTCACTCAGCTTTTCATGCCTCCTTTCCTGGGGCTGTTCTACCCTGCTCCGTTTGCCTGCCGTGTAACACAGGGGGAAGGAGGTGAGTAGCCAGAGCAGTGTGTGCGTACATGTGTAGGGGAAAGAGGGCGGAAAAGGGTGCCCCCAGAGGGTGTTCGGACTCAAACCTAGATGAAGGGGACGGGGTGTGGGGGAGTAGCCAGTGGTCCATGGGATGCAATTTAAAGGACTTCTACAACACCTATCTGCCAGCAAAAATACATTCCTACCACCCCCCAACTCCCTTCCCCGCCGACCTGGAATCCCACCTGGAGTTTCCGGGGAATGAGCCCGGCCTGTGAGCATCATTAGTGATTTACCTCCACTGGAAGGTGATGATTGGGGTGGGGCTGGCTGCCACCGAGGGGGGGATGGAGGAGAGAGAAGGGTGCTGCTCAGTTTGCCCTTCGTATCAGTGTTATCAGGGTGGCCTCCTGTGAGCTGGTGACCAGTCAGACTGGCTTGTCCGGCACTGCCCTCAGGAGCCACACCCCGGCCACCCCGGCCCTCACTCCCAAAGCACTTTCCCCCCCTTAGCTTCCTCTGCCTCTTAGCAGCATC